GAAGATGAATAAATAATCGCTATTATTATTGTTGATATGCTCACTAACCTAACATTTTCCACGTCTTGTTCTTATACCTGGCACTTGCGCGGTATTTGCCATTAGAGCACCTGGTCCATACACAAATATGTCACTCTGTGGTTGTATTTATATTGAAACTACAATTCGAACATCCTTGAAAACTGAATGAACCTGCTGTTAATGCAGGTAGAATATTCTCACCACAGGGATTATTTGTTGCATTGCATACATATGGCACGGCATTGGTGGTTACTTCACATATTTATTTGAGTTGATTCTTCTGGTTGCAGAAAAAAATAGCATGTTTCATTCGGATCAAAGGTGACTTCGTTTGACTCGCAAATTTTGCTTTCGCTCGGCTTCGCTAGACGCTCCGCCTTGCAAATGCAAAATTCGATCGTCAAAAAAAAGTGTCACTTTTGATCCTATTGAAACTAGAGTCCCTGTATATACCTTAGACAAGAGTCCGGACACAGCTATACTTCTGTCCTTTTCTGTTTTCAAAAAATGCATTGATGATTGAATAAAGGAATAAGACATATATATCGAGCTCTGTCATTTCAATTCCCCTAGTATCAATGATTGTCAGAAACAATTTTGAGGGTTATATTATTTGTCAAACCGTTCATAGTCGTAGGTAGAAGTGAGAAATAGGGCTATTTTAACTAGAATAACCGAAGAATAACTATGAGATTTTCAAATAATGAACAACAGGGTGATCAAATTTCGAATCGATAATTTTTATAATCAATTCCTGAGATGGCTATTGCAAATTTTCGTCATCAGATATTTCTTCACTTCATTAGATATAAGAAAGATAATTTGAGTGCTCTACGTAGTATCACATATAGCCAAGAAAATATAGTTGTTTTCTGTTGGGATATAAAAAAATAGAAGATATATAATTGTTTCAATATAGTTTTAATCGAAGTTTTAATTGTGTCGGTCTCCTACCTCTTCCTGCAGTCTACATACACCGACATACACCTGTAAATTTTGAGTTTGATCTGAATTAAAAACACCGTGGACTGATGACATAGTGTCACGAGTAGAACATTCAGTATATTAGTAATTTGTAACCATGAGGGTTTTATAAACATAAAATTATTCAAATCATCAATCGACATTGAACTATGAAAACTGACCAAGGAACTCTCATGAGAAACGTGCAAATCTAATAAAATGATGTATATAAATATTGGATATGAGGGTTTCGAAGTTAGTCTGGTCTGGGGCTACTCTTGACTTGACAAGAGCTCGTCGTATGGTCGTTATAATGTAAGTTGTTATTAGGTCTTTATATTCATTGTTGTTTATTCATATTTGTCATCACTACCCATAATGTTTCATGCTATTATAAATATTGTTATGTTTGAATATATTCTCATACTTTCAGTTACCCCTAAACTATTAGTGCCTATTTGAACATTACCTCTCGCAGAATATTAAGCCAAGCATTACCCCTTTATAAATCGATATGAATAGACTAACCATCTATTTATATCGTGTGAGACAGTTTTCATTATTTTAAGTATTAAATATAAAAATGTGTTTTCATATGGGGCATCTGGCCAGGATTTGCGAACGGTCCAGCATGCTAAAACTGGACTGCCTCGGTTTGATCTTCAAATGGGGCGTTCCTGGTAGTGCTCACAGATAGGCATGCTAAAACCATCTGTACCCATACAGAAACTAAGTGAAAAATATTAATTCATTTTTAAGAACCAACAACTTTCTTCTGTTGTGACAACCTCTTATCAATCGATATGGGTGGAAACAACCCTTTTATCGTAACATGGTGGAAACAACTATTTTGTTGTGACAATGGGAACACAACTCTTTGTTGTGACATTGCCATTTCTCTAAATCTTCTAGTTTTGATTTCAAATTTTGAATTTCTTTCCGCATCATCTCATTCTCATTTTCTTTCTCTACGATCGTATCATTCAGTAATTCCCAATACGATGACGACGGAACTCTTTTTTTGAACGTCTCTGTCGAGGTCTCTGTTTTATAAATTGACGGCACAGCAGACTCTTTCAGTTCGAAATCCAGCTTGAAAGAATCTCTATCAAAATGAGCCTAACATTCATCTTTTTTGTACTGTTTTTACAAGTAAATTTGAATATTTACCTCACATATTGCGGATTCCTTGAAATCAATTTTCCATTCTGGACGTTTCATTGCATCCTTCCATGACATTATCTTTAAAGGATCATTCGGAAAATTGAATAACTTGAATCCCTTTTCTAATGAATTATCGCAATAATGTAGGCAGCAGGACATTGAGATAATTTGAAATGCTAAATTTTGGCGGTCATAAAATCTCAGAGTGACAGTGACAGAAATTCGAAATAATTAAAAAAAGCGGGCGGGACTACTATGGTGTTTCGTCACATTGTCAGGTGGGCAAACCAAATGAAACAAAATATTAAAAACTCCAACGGCTGTCAGTTTTGTGTCCGGACTCTTGTCTGAGGTATATACAGGAACTCTAATTGAAACAATCTACTATTTTATATATTATAAGATAAATCGTTAATGTCATCATTATTAACTTACCTTCTTTGCCACGAATCAAAATGGAGCTGTCCCCCGCCGGACTGGTGAAATAGCCGGCGGCCTCGTTGTCCCAGAACATCTTGTCCTGCTGCTCCTGCAGCGTTTCAGCCCACTGCAGCCAATCAGCGTCGAGCGACGCCTCGTACAGGTCAAGCAGGCCTCGGATCAGGAAGGCGTAGTCGTCCAGGAAGCCGGAAATGGGAGTGGATCTGACGATGAAAAAAAATCTCTGGTAGTAGTCCATGCTCAAATTGGAGGTGATGAGATAATTAAGAGAACAAACTCAAAGTCTCGCTCCAAGTAAATTATAATCAAATAATATATGCTATATGCTACATGTTTCGACTCCTAGGAGTCATCATCAGGCTTGCTAGGTAGGAGGAGAAAGGAAACTATAAAATTGAGAACATAGTTCTTAAGGCTTTTAAGCCCAAAATAATTTCAAGTAACATTTTTGAATTTTGGTTTTTTGAACCCCCAAATAAACATTTTTCTAAGATGCTTCTTTTGGATCAGATAAACATTGTTTCCAGCAAATGGCGCGGTTATGAAGTGAACAAACCGACAGACTACTTGAATGCTGGAAACAATGTTTATCTGATCCAAAAGAAGCATCTTAGAAAAATGTTTATTTGGGGGTTCAAAAAACCAAAATTCAAAAATGTTACTTGAAATTATTTTGGGCTTAAAAGCCTTAAGAACTATGTTCTCAATTTTATAGTTTCCTTTCTCCTCCTACCTAGCAAGCCTGATGATGACTCCTAGGAGTCGAAACATGTAGCATATAGCATATATTATTTGATTATAATTTACTTGGAGCGAGACTTTGAGTTTGTTCTCTTAATTATGATGAAAAAAAAGTTGACTGATCATATCTAGGATAATCAACGCAACTCCAGAAGTTTACAATTGAGTGCAGGAATTATATTAGACTTTTTCGTGTTGCTGCCCGGAATTTTCATTTGTTGATATGAATGTTATGTATGACGATATTTGGTAAAGGCCTTCAAGTTTCAACTTGTAAGTCTTATGGGCGAAATCCGAATCACTATCACTAACTTATGGTTTATTTTTTAATGTTCCCTGTTATAAACATACACGTCAATTGTTTCTTGGGAATAATAAAGATGATGATGATGATGATGAACTTTGTTGGCTTCCTCGAAACGCCTCAAAAACGCGATAACATTTTGATTGCGAATCAAAATACGGAATGACTATGTGCTTTTTCTTATTTTTAGTGAAATGAATGGAAATTCATATTTTCATTTTGAAGAGAGTCAATATCTAGCAAATCCCTTGGTTTGTATAGTCTAGATGTTGATTCCAGAAATGTTAGTTTATAAATACATTTTATGGCTTGCAGTACCCCAGATCGATACCAGATACTGCAATTTAGAGTAAACCAAACTGAAATGAATTAATTTCAAGTATCAAAGAGTTATAAAAGACCTCAATTTGTATAATATACCAACAATGGGAGATTTTTTTCTGAGCAATTGAATATGCGATGACCAAGATAGAGCCTTGTCTATAGTTAAACCTAAGAGTTTAGAGTTTTTTGTAGGATTTATACAAAATTTTCCGAGCTTTAGTGGATCTATTTGGTTCTCAGGTATAAATCTTTTCGAGATGAACATGAAAGAAGATTTATCAAAATTGAGTGTCAATTTATGATATTGTAACCATAATGTAATTGAAGCGAGATCTGGTTCCATTTGGTTTTTTATTTCTTATATATTTTTTATGAGAGTTGTATCATCTGCAAATAATTTTAAATTCCCTTTCAATTTCGAACTTGAGATAGAATTTATATAAATCCGAAATAAAATAGGTCCGAGAATTGATGCGCTTCTTACTTGGCACTGCTTGGCAGCTCTTGTCCAGTCCACATTGACTGCATACCGGGTGTTCATGATATTATTATGTGGACTGTATTTTGTTTTGTATCAACTTGGGAAAAAAGGCTGATTCAATCGCGGTTAAATTTTGTGAGAGTACTTCTTACCTTTCTTGTTGAAGAGCTGATCTTGAAGAAAACTGCTGTTGTTCTGTAATACCTAATCTGTCGTTGGGCAAGGTTTGACCAAAAATACGAAGTAGACTTACCGATAAACGCGGGACTTTTAACTAACTGTCAAAACGCGAAAATAGGCGATAAGAATTCGAATGTGAGAAATCAATTTATTGATAACTGATTCTGAGTGCACCACTAGGTAGGTATTCGTTAATATTAAATAATTAATTCTAGCTTTAAAAACTAAATCTAAAGAAAAGAATGGCGAGATACTATCTTGAACACCTGGAAAGCTCATGAAAAAATATTTCATTAATCAGAGTGTAAAGCAAATTGATGAATCCTGGAAGTGTCTCAACTGACTTTGCATAGACTATACAAAAAAGGTGTCAATACTCACGTCTGAACAACCCCACCATCGTCGCCTCTGTAGCAGCACCTCAGCAACCTCTTCTCCTCCCCGTCGTACAAGTACCGCTTGATGAAACCCGCCGCCTGAATGCCCCGATCTATGTACGCTTGATCTTTCAGCACGAAGCCGGCCTTCGCGAACCCGGAAATCATCAGGCCGTTCCAGGCGGTGACGATTTTAGTGTCGACGTGCGGTTTGGGACGTTCCTGGCGCGCCTCGTAGAGGACTTTGTGGGATTTGTTGAGGATTTCTTTGAGTTTGTCGATGGTGATGGAGAATTTGTTCGCTGTGGTCTCGTAGCTGCCGAAACAAGCGAGGACGTTCTTGTTTTTCAGTTCTCCGTGAGGGTCCTGGGACGGTCTTACGTTACCTGGAAAAAACATATGGAACACTGCATTGTCAATCTGAATTCAAATACAAATACAATTCCCAGTACATAGGCCAGAGTGGTAGACGGATTCAAACCAGAGTAAATGAGCATATTAAATACATAGAAAAAGCCACTTTTCCTCCCCCTCTGGGTGTATTTAAAACTGGTAGTTCCTTTTCTGACCACGTTCTCAACTCCAAACACAGTTTTGACATTGACAATAGTTTAGAAATCCTACACATATGCCAAAAAGGCCGTTTATTAAATCTTTTAGAAACTTATGAGATAAATTTGTCATTAAACAATAATAATGTAACTTCTTTGAATGAACAAACTCAATATGATTGCAACAAATTTTTCAATTCATTGAATTTTGCTAAATAATTGTCATTTGCCATGTACACTTTTTTCTAGATTTTTTATTGTAAGATTTCTGATTGTACCAATCTTGTTTTCAGTTTTCTCTTCGTTCTCCAAATACTTCTAATAGGCCATCCACCGTCGATCACCCTGTATAGGGTAAGGGTGGTCATGATCCCCAATTCAACAAATACTGTTCTGCAGGAAACACTAGGATTGGATTCTGTTCATGCATCCTACAATTCTCTTTTGAAGAATGAAAACTTTATTAAAATGAGCTAAGGCCCCCGAAAAAATAAGGATAAGACTTTTGCACCTGGGTATTTTTTATTTTTATTGTTAATTTGGTTTGAATGAATGGTAACATTTCAGCTACTCCTTACTTGATAATTGTTAATTGATAATTGTTACTTGATAATTGTTACTTGATAATTGTTACTTGATAATTGTTACTTGATAATTGTTACTTGATAATTGTAAATTGAATCCACACTAACTAGATTTTCATTCAGAAGAACGATGTGAGTCACCAACTGTTCTGCTTATCCAATGGGGAAGATTTTTTTTATGAATCCAAATTGTATTAGGTTCCTCTGAAGCAACAACTGTTGAATTACAAATCAAAGGTAGCAGTCATATTGATGAGGTAGAACAAGAGGGATCTTGTCAATCAACTTCTTGGCAATTATTTAAGACGCCACAATAATAACTGTATAACAATAGTTTTGGATGAAGAAGTTAAACTAATTTCGTTTGCATACCTACTCTTGTGAGTAGAAGGGTATGATCACCTTATCGGAAATATATCGTTAAAGGTTATTCAGCATAACCGTTCTAAAACTCTTATGTGAAGATATGCAATATAACAAATGTCAAGTGTCTCAAAATCCACAGGTTTCTGATACTACAAGAAAGTCCATGTTATTCATATAAATGTGGGTTTTATATAAAATCAATCAGATATTGATTCCAAACATAAACAAACACCTGTTAGAGAACATCATTATTCTATTCAAATGCAGGGTTGGCAGAGCTTCCTCCAAGTAGATTTCTGAACGATCGTGAATGCATACTCTAATCTGCTAACCAATTTGTTATCCAATCAAGCACCTACCTTGTTTTTGAACGCTGTAATGGTACTCCACGACCTCGGCATGTGAAATCCCATCAGTCTCCTCATCAAGCAAATTGAATATCTCGTCGTACTCCCACACGCAAAAAGCGCCCTCCTGCTTATGAGCAGCGCCCTCTACCGGATACGAGTCGGCGTCTTCCGCTCCATAAAACCCGCCCATTTCGTGACTCAGGTCTCTCGACACGTACGACAAGATGTCGCGTACGACGTCTGCGTAGAACTCATCCTTGGTGAGGACGTACGCGTCGCAATAGGAAACAGCCAGCTGGCCTTGGTCGTAGAGCATTTTCTCGAAATGAGGCACATGCCATTTGTCATCGACAGAATATCTGGAATGTTTTGATAGATATAATGCACATTCACCAGATCATATATCGACCCATGATAGATTATTGAAGCATCAATGTATTATTGTTCACCCGAGGTTCACTCTTCATATAGACAGTTGGTGATGTCATGAATACTACAGAGTTTTATTATGCAATTGAGAAATCAATTAAGAACCTTCACTGTCGTTGTAAAATATCAAAAATAGATATCAAACAACTACAGTAGCTGTACCTATCAAATGAAAAACAGTCTCATATTTCTGTAGGTGTTCATGTAAATCTTTATTATTGGCTTGGGTAAAATTGTATAGAACCATTTAAGTATGAATATTTTTTTCGCGCTAAGAAAGCACCTCACTCCAATTATTATCGCGCATGCTAATTGGTGTCGTCTACCTGTGCGCAGCAGGACAAAATTTCTGTCTCATTCGATTTGCTACCATGGTGCATCGTTATAACCGCTTACAAGTGTATCCTACCCCGGGGATTTTCAATAAGAGCCATTTGCTAGAAAACCACCTACTTCAGCTTCAATCATCATATTTCTGCCTCAGATCATATTCTGACCAGGAACACCGCAGCCAGCCGGCTATAACATCATAACTGCATACACCGCATGGAATCATCAGGTGAGTGCAGTTGCTTTCTTGTATCAAAAATCTGATTTTATATGGTCTATGCGATTTGAACCTGCCTAAGAAAATACAGTCCACTCAAATATCGAACAGTAAGCATAATCCTTTATGATCCGCCTCGAAGGACCATGTGGGAACAAGCCAATATTTCTGTAGGCAAATTCCTACAATCATATTTCGTAACTGCTAACATAAAGCAATCAAAAAATTCAAAGAAGGTAGCAGAAACAACAGCTATGAGAAAAAATGGTAAAACTGCATTTAGCATGCGATGGGTTTTTTTTCGAAATTTTTTTTTTGGTACTTACGTATTTTTGTCTGAAAAACACGAATTTAATAATGAAAATGTGAACAAACCACTATTTATCGAGATATTTCAAAAAAAAGTTCGAAATTTCGACTCCTTTTTCCCCTTGCGTTGGATGCATTTTCAGGTACTTGCTCTTCTTATTTTGTCATTGGACACTTTATATACTCATGATGTACTTCAATGACACATTTTTATACAGAAAATTCAACAGGAAATATGATTTTTATGGTGAGTTTTTCCTATTTAGTGAGCAAGCATACCAGATGACGGCCATTTTATCCATAGGCAATCCAAATACGAGATGTCAAATGTCAATAGATTGCTTTGGAATGACATTACACACGCCATTATTTCAAATGATATTCTTCCTTCTTTTCAATAAATATGGATAAATCACAAGAAAATCATATTTCTAGTTGACTCAATAATAGAAAAAAATGTGTCTTACATTGTGATATATAATATAAATTGTCCTATGATGAAAAAAGAAGGGTAAATTGTTTTAAATTCAATCCAGAATACAGGCGGAAAAGAAGGTGAAATTTGAAACTTTATAGTGAAATATCTTGATAAATAATGGTTTGTTCAAATTTTCATTATCAAATTCGTGTTTTTCAGACAAAAATACGTAAGTACCAAGAAAAATTTTCGAAAAAAAAACCATCGCATGCTAAAAGCAGTTTTACCGAAAAAATTTCTCACCAACGCCATTCCCGTAATTCCCTACACAACCCCCCAAACCAATTATTATACCAGACTTTAAACATTCCGCCTTAGAAGAAACAATCCTGGCACTGAAGGAAATTTTTGCAAAAAAAATTAGAACTTGGAAATAGTGAGAAGATTCTATTACACACGGGATACCAACGTTTGCAACGCTTAGGAGTACCCAGATGAAACAACTAGCTTTAGTCATTAGGCTAAGACTCTTTCTTGTGATTACCTCCTGTGTGTTTGTAAGAGAATCTTTAAATAAATAAATGAATTTTTAGGTTGAGGTCTCCGACATAGCTACTATCTCATACAAGTTGCTCGCCTGAAAACGCTTTTCCTCAATGTGCAGAAAGTCCAAAATGTCATGCATCATTTCGATGGTGCGTTGATTTAATAAAGGGAAATTAGCTCGAACAAAATGGAGGACGTACGCGTCGCAGTATGAAACAGCCAGCTGGCTTTGGTCGTAAAGCATTTTCTCGAAATGCGGCACGTGCATCTGTCATCGACAGAATATCTGGAAAATTTTTATTGAAATATCGTTCACAAGATCATATATCGACCTATGATAGATTATGGAAGCATAATTGTATAATCTATAACTATTATTATTCGCCCGACGGTCACTCTTTATATACACAATTAGTGATGTCATGAATACTACAGAGTTTTGTTATGCAAGTGAGAAACTAATGAAGAACCTTCACTGTCGGTCTTGAATATCAAAAATGTATAATTTCATTATCAAACTACTACACTAGCTGTACCTATCAAATGGGAAGCTGTCCCATATTTCTGTAGGCAAAATCCTTCATGATCCGGCTCGAAGGACCATGTGGGAACAAGCCCATATTTCTGTAGGCGAATTCCTACAATCATATTTCTCAACTGCTAACAACAGGTAATCAACAAATTCAAAGAAGGTAGCAGAAACAACAACTATATGCAAAAATGTGTCACCTACGCAATCCCCGTAATTCCCTACACAACCCTCTAACCAATTATTATACCAGACTCTGAACATTCCGCCTTAGAAGAAACAATTCTGGCGCTAGAGGAAATATTTCGCAAAAAAAATTGAAACTTGGAAATAATGAGAAGATTCTATTGCACACGGGATACTAACGTTCACCACTCTTAGGAGTACCCAGAAGAAACAACTAGCTTTAGCCACTAGGCTAAGACTCTTACTTGTGATTACCTCCTGTGTGTTTGTAAGAGAATCTTTAAATAAATAAATGAACTTTTGGGTTGAGTTCACCGACATAGCTACTATCTCATACAAGTTTCTCGCCTGAAAACGGTTTTGCTCAATGTGCAGAAAGTCCAAAATGTCATGCATCATTTTGATGGTGCCTTGATTTAATAAAGGGAAATTAGCTCAAAAAATTTGGAGGTGATGTAAAATTTCAGAGGAAATACACAAGGTGTCCGCTAAAAGGAGGTCAATCCATTAACCATATATTCCTTGAACAAAAACAATATGAGTTTCTAAATACCATTTTTCATTCTAGCACCTTATATTCGATATACAGGGTGTCAAAGTTGGAAATTAAAAACTGTTTTTTTTTCAATTACTTGTGTATTTAATAAGATATTAATCTCAAAATTGGTACATTACTTCAGCACAAAGAGTTACATCGTGTGGGGAGAACAGAACAGAAAATAACTGTACAAGTACACACTTACCCCCATTTTTTTTTGTACGTGCGCTAATGACTTCCTATCTATTTTTCTTCAAGTATTTAATAATTTTTGTGTATTTTTTGTCTCTTGTAAAATTTCGATAAAATTATTTGTTTTCAAGATAATTCGAAAAGTACTGGTTATTGTTTGATGCCTGGCGGCATCTGGCGGCTTATGGTAATCTCATAATGTTCACATACTCCTATTTATTTCGTCGAAATTGGAAGAGGGCGTATCTTTTTACATACGGAAGGTAAATATGGAAATACCGGGTGCTCAGAGCGAATGTATTAAAATATTTTTTACAAAAAAAAATTTATTGAAATTCAACATGTTTAATTTAATTTCCAACTTTGATCGAATATGAAGGGATAGAATGAATAATGGTATCTAGAAACTCATATTGTTTTTGTTCAAGGAATATATGGTTAATGGATTGACCTCCTTTCAGCGGACACCCTGTATAATAAACACATCTAGAAGGAAATATGTACAGGATGACTCACATAGACCACACAATAAAATTGTGAATGTTTTTCATCTTATGGTTTGTGATATACAAATTATTAGGCCCTACTTATTTTCAGAAAAATCGACATATTACAAAAACTGTGATAGATAAGTTGACATAAATTAGGTTGTTCAACTCAAAATTAGAGGGCCAATTGAACCATGTGGAAAAAAATATAGGATTTTATACAAACTAAAAAAGTTGGTGCCAATTTTTGACACACCATGTATAGCTGGAGGACTACAATGATTTCAGAAAGAATGGGAATAATGGATAATAATGAATCCAACTGCAACAATAAAAACTTATAATGTATGCTATTGTTAATCACCCTCTATAAGTTTTGGCACATCATTTATTGAGAAAATGATCAATTTAACTGTAATAATGATTGAATCAGTTTATTTTTACTTATCAACTTGTATTAAAATTCAAATCATGTAAACAAAAGATAAATTATTAATGTCAACAAGGAAAGACAAATTTGTGAATATCAATTTTGTATAATTGACAATGTAAATCTCCATAAGAAAAGTAGCATTTCAGAAGTATGCAATCATATCAAACTCACCTAGCAAACCCATTATTGACATGATCATGTATCCCACCATAAGCCATCTTTTTCAATGTGTGTAGGCACATCTCCAGACACTGGGACCCCTCCTCAGTCTTCTTATTCCGTGAGTACATGTGAAACAGAAAATTAAAATTCACTGGTTGAGGAAACTTTGGGGCAGAATTGAAACCTCCAAAATCAGACTCATAACTTCTAGACAGCTGCAAGAAACACTTTTTCCAAGCATCCTCACTGGGGATATTGAGATTTTGTCCTTCCTTCTGGTCTTTAGCAGCAACCTTCTTCAAGACTTGCAGAGCATAATCCCCAGAGTTCAATATGGAGGTCTTCTTATCATGCCACTGTTTGGCAATGCTGTTCAAAACTGATTTGAACCCAGGACGCCCATACTGGTCTTCAGGTGGGAAATAGGTGCCCCCTGCCAGGGGTTTCAAGTCTGGGGTCAAGAAAACAGACATCGGCCATCCTCCACCACCCACAGTGGCTGTTATGAAGGACATGTACAATTTGTCAACATCAGGACGTTCTTCTCTGTCCACTTTTATATTTATGAAGTGTTTATTCATAATCTCTGCAACTGTTTTGTTTTCAAATGATTCTTTCTCCATAACATGACACCTGGAAGTTCATGAATTTTAGCAAAGTGTCTATATACCTTGATAGGGGTTTCACTTACCAGTGGCATGTAGAATAGCCAACAGATAAAAATATTAGTTTATTTTCAGCTTTGGCTTTATCAAAGGCCTCCTGACCCCAAGGAAACCAATCCACAGGATTGGTAGCATGTTGTAGTAGGTAAGGTGATTTTTCTAGGATCAGACGATTTGTTTCTTCAGATTTGGTGGGAGATCCTGAAGAACCAACCTCAGTAGACATGGTCCTGATAGTTTCCTTGTAATATTCTCTTGTTGATCCAAATGATTGTGACCTAGAATATTAAAAATAAATATATGAGAAATCAAACTGACATTTTATTAATGATTTTTAATAAATAAAGTTCAATGTTATCAACAACTAATGAAGGTTTGTTAACCTTCAAATAAGATTGTCTACGTGAGTTCCTGAACGTAAAAAAACAATCTTATTATAGTAAACAGGCTGTAGAGAAGAAGTGCCTATGTTACCTCAATCTAGACTTCCTAACTGATGATTTCTCTGCATCGACACACTTTGTGGAAAAACTTATTGGAGAAACCGTAGTGGTGGCTCGATTATTTGCTACTCGCAAATCTCCATTGGAAAAAGAAAATCTTCGGAAAATACCTTGTATCACTGAAGAATTATTTGCGGCACGACAAACTAACATGTCTACTAGAAATAGAGACACAACATTATCCTATTACGCGAATATCGGCACACAAATCCGCTCACATCGGTTTATATAATCAAAAAATTCGAAACTACAATAATGTTATTATTATTAGTACAGTACAGTGCAAGGTGGAAGTGAAAGTAAACTTATGACGTGAATCGTGATGTGATTGAATCGAAGCTCAGCCCGCACGTCGCACCAGTCGCACCACGCAGGATTCACTGATGATAAAACAATGACAATAACAAAAATAATAATAAACAGAGAACAGGGACACGTTAAAAAAATACCGTAATGAATAAATATAAGAAGCACAAAGTACAAGATACCATGAACATAACTGAGATTATTATTGAATGTCCAGCAGTTGTGTTGTCTACACAAAATATCAAAATAAACTTAAGGAATGTGTGGAATTTTAAATTTGATTGGAAATGATTGGAAGTTTTGTATTTGTATGGTTTTGTCACAGTTCACAGTGTTGTTGAAAAAACGTAAACAATTCTTCTGATGTTCTATTTCTATGTCAGTCACTGACATAGAACACACTGACAGTCAGTGTGAGACGGTTAGCTGTCAGAACTGCCAGAAGCAAAATGAAGACAGAACTCATGATGGAAGTAGGAACTAGGGAAGATTGCGGCTTGCCGCGGCTAGCGGAACTGTAGATATAAAGTTTCGTATTATTTTTTCCCCATGTCGGCATCAACGCCTGCTATGCTTCATGTATATATGGATATTTCCATCATATTTCATTCAAATTCCCCGTTGAACCCAGTTTTTCGGTGAAGGTGGTGAGAGGCAACCAAAGAGGCAACTACGTCATAATAGAGATATTTATTTCACATTTCCCGTTAAACATGGATAATCACTTGAGAACAAGATGATAAAAAGTCAAATATTGAGTTCTGAGTTCATTGGTGCGTCGACACAAGCTGTTACCCGCATAGGCCATATATGTATCCACCACATGCTTTATTTCTTGCGTTCTCTCTGCAGGCGCTAGTATCTTTCACTTTCTAAAATGAACCCAATTCCAAGGGCAGGTAGGGGAGGTGTTTCCAAACGCGAGTATTCAATATCCCCCGGTTTGACACGGGAGGAAGAGAGACATACAACGACCTCTCGCTCAGCTTTGGTTTGTTGCCGTGTCGGTATTTTTAAAATTCAGATCCAAAAGCTGTAGCAGTTCTTGTGATAGTTCCGAGAATGTAATATTGTTCATGTTGGAAAGTAGACGAGATTTGTTGAAAATCCCAACAATCGACAATAACCTATATACGAAACGGTGCATTGAATTAAAATAATAATAAATAATGATATGGATAGTCATTATTAAGAATAATTCTCATTTGGTACTCAAGTTTCCTGAATGTTTGCACTAATTTCTTGAAATTCATTATGGGAAAGGGAAAAGTACCTAGGTACCATTCGAAATTTCTCAAATTCCTGTTGGTGTCAATAATGCAGCTATTCTTTTCATATTCTAGACTGATTCAGATTAATTAATCCATATTTTTTCCTAAGCAAATGATAAACAGCTTTCAAATCCAATATTTAGTTTTTAGTTTTTCAAGGGTATGCAAGTGACGGGAAAAGAAACGCTAGTCGCTTTTACGCGATGCAACATTCCCCCACCACGCACTTTATTACTTGCGTTCTCTCTGCAAGTCAGGACGTCTGCAGACGCTAGTTTCTTTGGTTTGGCATCACTGACATTATTTTATGTTTTATGTTCCCATGGCTTATTCTTTATTTTATGTTTCATGTTCCATTCCATTTTCACAATAGCGGATACACAGAAACCATCTGCGAATCGTCCCGAATGCGCGCGCATATATCAATACAGATCTGCAGGTCCCAGGTTCGATTCGCTATGAACTTAATCTTTTTTAAACAATTTTTTTTCACCAATGTATCTTTACTTCATTCTGGTTTAGCTTCCTCAAAAAATATCGAATGTCGAATAGGTTAGTGCGTTTAGGATAAACAGTCTCATTTTATTCAATTTTATTGAAAAACTTGACTTATCATTGATCAATGTGTATTTACTTCATTCTGGTTTTCCTTCCTCAAAAAATATTGCAATTAGGAATAGGTTAGTTTGTTAACGATAAATAGACTCAATCCATTTAATTTTGTTGAATACTATATTCTTATATGACTGAAATTTTCCACTTCATCCTATTTTTTTTTTCTCGAAAAGATTCGGATTCAATCACGATTCATTTTGAATGCTCCGCCATAGCTAGAATCGTTCTGATTGGTTCATACACTCGGGACGATTTGCAGATAGTTTCTGTGTATCCGCCAGTGCTGCCAATGTGCGGAGGATCCTCCGAAAAGGGGTTGTTTTTGGCGTTAGAGGTTTTTTTGGAGGAGGATTCACACAAAGCGGAGGAAAGGGGTTTTTTCAGCCATCATTGTAATTTTGTTACTCAACTTTAGTTGAGGCTTGCGCGTGCAACATCTGTCCATGATCCAATCATGATCATGATCGAACCCTCCGTGAGTCTATGAAGTCGGAGTCTGTGTTCTTGTTCTGTGCTTCTGTGGTGGTGGTGGTAAATAAATAAATAACCGTCGGTTTCGGTTTTAGTTCTGTGGTCGGTCTCAATGGTGTGAATGATGTCAAGTTTCGTCATAATCTCATATACCAAATATTAGTAATTGGTATAAATCTCTTTTACACTTTGACCACACAACCAACAACCAAAGAATAATGACAAATAAAAATAACATTTTTTTAATATTTCCAGTTGTATTTTAATTACTCATTGGCTCATTGTCATCATAATAATTATGTCTCTTGCTAAATACGGATTCGGTAAATTATCGCACTGAAAAAATGTTCATACTCAAAACCAGTGTTTGGAAAAATAAGAAATTCAATGAAATCTTTTTCTAACAAATGTGTAGTTTGTTTTTTTTTTCGGTTTGTTCCACGTATATATATGATTGTTCGGAAATGAATAATTTCATTTATGAATATATATATATATATGATTGTTCGAAAATGAATGATTTAATTTATCAATCATGTCTTTCATTCAAAAAAGGTGTATTTTGAAAATAGCAATTTATCCGCAGAACATAGAACACACGTCAAATTCAGTTAACCTTGTCGGGAGGAGGTTTTCGTTCATTTGCGGAGGATTTCACGTGCTAAAGAGAAGGAAGGACTCGAATTGCATTGGCAGCACTGGTATCCGCTAGTCATTTTCACTTTTAAACTCGCTCATTTCTTTTTAGTTCGTCTTTCTTGTGATTGAGTTGGGTGAGTAAGCTTGTATTCTTAAAATTATTTTATTGAAGTAAATTTTGATCTTTGTCTAAAATATTTATCGAACATCATAGTTGACTGTTGTATTTTTCATTCTCAATCATAATTTCAGCGATTTGTGCATAGATTCTATAGAAATTTGAAGATAAATTCCATAAGGTTAAGATTGAACATGCCTTGTATTTTGGGCAAGGTGCTTCGTGAACATTCACGATGACACCTAATCGTACAAGGCTATATAAATTCCTTGTTTAATCCCGGAATTCACAAATTGAATTATCCGATTCATGGCAAGGAAACATTAGATCGATTAAATATTTCTCATTGATATTTTTGTTCACGTTGAAACATTGTTTGAATATCATTGATATCTTCCAGTGAAAACTCATCAAGATGGTTAACGGGCGGATACCCTCAGTCCACTCGAAAACATACGTTACCCCTAGACGTCCCTATGAAAAGGCCCGTCTGGATCAGGAATTGAAAATTATCGGCGCCTTTGGTTTACGAAACAAACGTGAAGTGTGGAGAGTAAAGTACACTTTGGCCAAAATCCGTAAAGCTGCTCGTGAACTGCTCACCCTAGAAGAAAAAGAGCCTAAAAGATTGTTTGAAGGTATGTTTTCATTGTTCATTATAAGTTGGTTCGCCCTGACGCCACGCTCCTTTAGACTTCAATGTCTATCGAGAGTGCCAGAATTATCTAATAGGGGCAGATAGAATCCCCACTAGGAAACAGTCAAACCTAAATGTTGGTTATTTCTGTGCCGAAAGTTGAGGGTACAATTCACAAATTACATAGTGTAATGATGATTTTTACTACGAAATTTGGTAAAACTGCATTTAGCATGCGATGGGTTTTTTTTTGAAAAATTTTTTTTGTACTTACGTATTTTTGTCCGAAAAACACGAATTTGATAATGAAAATGTGAACAAACCACTATTTATCGAGATATTTCAAAAAAAGTTCGAAATTTCGACTCCTTTTTCCCCCTTGCGTTGGATGCATTTTCAGGTACTTGCTCTTCTTATTTTGTCATTGGACACTTTATATACTCATGATGTACTTCAATGACACATTTTTATACAGAAAATTCAACAGGAAATATGATTTTTATGGTGAGTTTTCCTATTTAGTGAGCAAGCATACCAGATGACGGCCATTTTATCCATAGGTAATCCAAATACGAGATGTCAAATGTCAATAGATTGCTTTGGAGTGACAAGGAGTGACATTACACACGCCATGATTTCAAATGATATTCTTCCTTCTTTTCAATAAATATGGATAAATCACAAGAAAATCATATTTCTAGTTGACTCAATAATAGAAAAAAATGTGTCTTACATTGTGATATATATAAATTTATCCAATGATGAAAAAAGAAGGGTAAATTATTTTAAATTCAATCCAGAAGACAGGCGGAAAAGAAGGGTACATTTGTAACTTTATAGTGAAATATCTTGATAAATAATGGTTTGTTCACATTTTCATTATCAAATTCGTGTTTTTCAGACAAAAATACGTAAGTACCAAAAAAAATTTTCGAAAAAACCCATCGCATGCTAAATGCAGTTTTACCGGAAATTTTCTCATCTAATTCATGATTCCATTTTAGGTAATGCACTTCTACGTCGTTTGGTGCGAATTGGTGTACTTGATGAGAACAGGATGAAGCTTGATTATGTTTTGGGTCTGAAGATTGAAGATTTCTTGGAAAGAAGGCTCCAAACTCAGGTGTTCAAATCTGGTCTGGCAAAGTCAATTCATCATGCTAGAGTACTGATTAGGCAGAGACACATCCGGTAATATTTTGTTTTCCTATTGGTGGATGTTTTTTCATGAAAGGCCACTGAGCTGAATGAGCTTACGCCTCGAAATTTGTCTTCACTCCAAGTGGATTGAAGATGTTTCATAAGGGCCACTTAGTTGAATAACTAATGCCCTGAAATGTGATCTTAATCTGATGGTGAAGAGGTAAATATTTATTTTTATAAATCTGATTATATTTTTGGTACATTTCCTGAAATTTCTGAGTACTTGGTGATCTCTGTTTATAATGAAAATGTTGATAATTGAAGGTGGGTAATTTTTTATATATTAACTCAATTTTGGAATTGTGGGACTATCAAATTTAGTCTGAATTTTAATATTTAAATTGGAGCTAGGGAAATTCTTATTGAAATCTACCTGATCCTATGGACCTAATTGCTTGCTCAGTTATAAAATTTTGCATTTTTGAGCATATTTTCATAATGAAAAAAATCAGCATCAGGCATTAAATTGTTTTCCTTCTTGCCTGAATTAGAAATAATGTTCATTTTTTGAAGAGAAGCAACTGGCACTTTATTGTTAAAAAATATGAAAGTGATTGATCCACTATTCTTGAAGAAATTCCATCAAGGAATTGCATCCTGTTTTCTTTTTTTCTTTCATATCTGTAGAGTATGTGTTATACAGGGTGTTTTAAAAAACTGTACCCCCTTGCTAGGGTATGTCTGACTCTCGTAGAGGTCGCTGGTTACAGGATTCCTAGGAACTAGTTTTGAACTTTTTTGAGGTTAGATTTTAGATTTTTCAATCCGAATTTCATGTGAACTTGAACATCATTGAGAACTCAACATTGAAAAGATACTCTAGGTTACACACAATACTATGTAGAAAAAATTGAGGAGAATGCCATTCTAACCTTTTTTATATTGTGGTTAATATGATCTCCATTTTCTTCCCATTTCCAATGTTACCAACATAAAATTTCCATTATTTTATGTTGGAACACTGATGGCAAGGACAGTTGGCAAAGGCATTTTTTTTTCTGGATGCTAGCTAAACTGCTAATTGAATCACCTGTAACTAAAATTCACTTGCTGTTTTAAAAATGGTCAATATCAACACAATTCAACAACAACAAAGGATCCATATTTTTTCTTGAAAAAAGAAAATCATTTTTGAATTATCTAACAGAAAACAACTAGGTTTGTTTCTCGATTATACCACAGAATATTGAATTACACCTGTAAAATATTGGAAATACATAATTGAAAAAATAATCTGAAAAGAAAAGTACATGAATTGAAATTTCATCTGTTAATAGGTTATATAAAATATAACTTCATGAATAACTTTTTTCCCTCGGGAAAATAGTGAGTGCTTTTTTCCTGGATATACAGGGTGTCCCTAGACCAGTGGGACAGTTAAATATCTTCTGAACCAATAGGAATTTTCAAAATATTATAATTTCACATCATATCGCATCATGAGTGCTAACTTCAAGAATGACTATAATACTATACGAGGGGCGCAAGAAAGGCTCACAAAATCGAACATCAATTTTTTCAAATGGAACACCCTGTATTCCACTGCCTTTTCATATTCTCCTTGGAGAGCTGAGTTCAACGACCTAGCACACTTGGGGTCTAGCGGGAATGATTTCCGAGATGTAGGGTGTGGAAAATCGAGATTTTTCATTTTTGGGAATTTTTTGTGTCGAAACTATTCATTATTGGTCAAAACGGCTTGCATGTCCATATCTTGACTTTTGATTTACTATTTACTCGTATTAATTGAATCAAATACAGGGTGGTGCAGAATTAACAGTTTCAGTCAGAATTCTACACCACCCTGTATTTGTTTCAATTAAATACGAGTAAATAGTAAATCAAAAGTTAAGATATGGACATGTAAGCCGTTTTGACCAATAATGAATAGTTTCAACACGAAAAATTCCCAAAATTGAAAAATCTCGATTTTCCACACCCTATATCTCGGAAATAATTCCCGCCAAGTGTGCTAGGTCGGTGAATTCAGCTCTCCAAGGAGAATATGAAAATGCAATGAAATACAGGGTGTTCCATTTGAAAAAATTGATGTTCGATTTTGTGAGCCTTTCTTGCGCACCTCGTATAAAATATAGTCATTCCTGAAGTAAGCACTCATAATGCGATATGATGTGAAAATATAATATTTTGAAAATTCCTATTGGTTCAGGAGATATTCAACTGTCCCACTGGTCTAGGGACACCCTGTATATACAAGGTGTTTTTGAAATAAGTGCACATATTCAGCACATAGTCATAATATGTGTTCATGTACAGGTAGAAATTTTCAATATGTAAGCTTCCATTGCAGAAGTGGCAGAAGGAATTTTAATGATGAAATTTCATAATGAAAACTATGTGACATCACTATTTACCTGAAAATTCATATTCCTTCATCTCCTGCATTTTTTGTGTATTGAACAACTACACATTGAGAAGACATGCGGGCTTTTCTGCCAGATTACAGTAAATGACAGATGTCAGTCCAGCTTGCTGGACAAACAAATAAATCTACAAATGCTTATTGTGCATTTAGGTCATATTTTGAAATATTTTTTCTTCATTATGATTCAATTTTGTGCAATTGTGAAATGTGGAAGTAGAAGCGGCAGAGAAAGGTCTCTCTTTCCATGGATTCCCTTTGAATTTTGATAATAGGAAACATAATTAATCCTCTTGCTGAAAAGGTACGTGAATTTTGTGGATTCAGGCAATCAAAAGAGCAAATTTAAGATCTAGGAAGCATAGTAACCATGAAAATTAAAAATATTTTTTCATTTCAGGCATGTCAAGTGCATTGAATCATTTCCTGTGTATGCACTCTTCTTAAATACAAAATAGTTTATGTCATACATTGAAATTTTAGGAAAGTCCTTCACAGAATCACTACAATCACCAAATTTTCATATTTAGGGATCACATCCATTGTTTTCTTTCAGCTCATCTAAATATCTCTTCTGGAGATCCATAGACAATGTATGGAAATAAATCACTTTTATGAGCCATCTTACAAACAGTATTCTTGCAAGCAAGTAGAAAAATGATATCAATATACATTATGTTCTTCCCTTAGGTAAAAACCTATAATTTCCTCAGAATTTCAATTATAATATCATTGAATCATCATTGTTGTTTATGGAAATATGGTTTGTTGGTCCAGCAGGCTGATTGATAGCTAAAGACAGCTGTCGTGACGTCACCTGCCCTTGCCCTATACCAAAATATTGTGAGAAAAACTATTTCAATCCTTTGTTTCCTCTGTAAACAAATAACAAAAGTGAGGTTGTGTTTCAATGTTTTACCTCCAGGATCAGTCATCGTGCACGCGACCTATTGAGCAGAAAGAGTTCATATACAGTGCGTCCATAAAGTAACGCATAAATTCATTATTGGCTAAATGAACAATAAAATTAGAAATTCCCGAAACGGGTCGATTTTTGATTTCAGTTTACTATTGTTTCAAATCATAATCTAATATACAGGGTGAACCACTTTCGTGTAATGACGTCATCACCATTTTTTTCAAATGGAACCTTCCCCCTTTTTTTCAATTTCCAAATTGCCTTTGCTGCGTCTCATCCATAAATTGGCTGAAGACGACTTTGACCGAAGAACTGAATTCTTCGAGTATATGATGAACCAAAATAACAATTTCATTGATAACGTTTTATTTTCGGACGAGGTAACGTTTTATTTGAACGGTCATGTTAACCGGCAAAACACCCGTTATTGGTCTGATGAAAATCCACACTGGATGCAAGAGTACCATACGCAAAGACCACAAAAAACTAACGTATGGGCTGGTATTGTGAGAAATACAATTATTGGTCCATACTTTTTTGATGAAAACATAACAGGAGCATTATATCTGGATTTCCTACAAAATACATTAATTCCTGATCTGATCCAGCTTTTTCCTGATATTCAAATACCCACTGATGTAGACCGCAGGATCTGGTTTCAACAGGATGGCGCACCGCCACATTTCGCAGTAACTGTGCGCGATTTTTTTGAACACAACTTTTCCACAAAGGTGGATAGGAAGAAGAGGACCAGTGGAATGGCCTGCTAGATCACCTGATCTGAGCCCATTAGACTTCTTTTTATGGGGTTATTTAAAATCTAAAGTCTACTTAAACAGACCTGGAAATATCCCTCAACTACAAGACCGAATTGAAGCAACATATTATACATTTTTGGAATCAGCTCAGCAAGGGCAATTCTGAAATTGAAAAAAAGAAGGGGGGTTCCATTTGAAAAAAATGGTGATGACGTCATTACAAGAAAGTGGTTCACCCTGTATATTAGATTATGATTTGAAACAATAGTAAATTGAAATCAAAAATCGACCTGTTTCGGGAATTTCTAATTTTATTGTTCATTTAGCCAATAATGAATTCATGCAGTCGGTAGTTTAACCACGGTTTAGCCAAAGTTTTTCCGACTCCCAGTTTCAATGTCCCTTTTTTCTTCCACAGGGTGCGCAAGCAGGTGGTGAACATCCCCTCGTTCATCGTGCGGCTGGACTCGCAGAAGCACATCGACTTCTCCCTGAAGTCGCCCTTCGGGGGTGGCCGTCCTGGTCGTGTCAAGAGGAAGAACCTCACCAAGAAGACGGGCGGCGCTGCTGCCGAAGAGGAGGAAGATTGAGGTGTGAGCGGGTGTTTACCGATAGAGATGATTGTTGGTATTCAATAAAGTGTTGAGAGAAATGATTGGGGATAGTTGTTTTTTACTTACCTAGCAGAGGATTCCTGTTCCTGTGACTGTTTTTTTATTGAAATGATTTGGGAAAATGTTCCAGTTGTGCATTATACTGCAATAAATTACAAGGTTTTTCGGCCCTGATATGTTTCAACCCGTGTTTTCAATACTTATGAAAGAATTTTTCTGAACAAGTAAATATGAAAAAAAACTATAATACTACTAAATAAGGTGGTCATGCAGTTTTGAACTCGTGTAGCCTCTCGAACAGTTTCATGATCTCTATATTAGTTCCTGGTTCTCAGGAGTCCTTGATAGCCTCCCACCATTTTTTCAATTTACCCCTGAATTAAAACGTCAAAGTAATGTGTGCGCTTCCAGAGGATTTATTTCAATAAATGAGGTTAGGAAGTACCAAAAATACAATCAGAAATATAATATAAAAAAATGTCGATGTTTCTTATTAAAACCTATAATCCAATAAGATGCTTGTAAACCAAAACTGCGGATATTCATAAACTTATTCTGGTGAAAAACGTTCATATACCATCAACTGTGTACTCAGCGAATAAACGGTTGCCCCCTGTGGTTTCCCCAGGATTTCGAGTTACCCCGTTTTACGGAACTTGAAATTTGATTATGTTCAGTTGTGACTACCAGGGTTGCCAATATGCGGGTATTTTACCCGAAAAGCGGGTATTTTCTACTCTGGTGGGTATTTTTCGGGTAAAATCAAATGTCGGGTAAAAATCGGGTATTTTGATTCGAATAATAATCTGTGATGTTCAAATCGAAACATTCGAATGATTCGAACCTTCGTTGATCTGTGGTCGAAACGACCAACCACAGAACTGTGTTTTATTTCTGTGCGAACCCGAACTCTATCACGAAACTTAATTTTCTTAAGGTCTGTGGTTATGTATTTTATGTTCTATGATTTCCAGATGTCGTCTATCACTGTCAGTCAAAGTACTCAAAGTCAGAATTTCAGAATTCAGAGAGTCAGGGTCAGGGATTATAAAGAGAAATATTATTTTTAATAATAAATACCTCAATACTCTACCCTCTACCTTCCATGTGATGGATAGATGGTTGGAAAAATCAAAACAAACTGTAATAATAATAATGAGATATTAGATTTGTTTTTTTTTTGTGATAAATTATATATATATATATATATATATACTGTTTATATACTTATTTTCATTTTCGAAATGACGATTACCTCTTTCAAATTTGCCGCGCTTCAAAACGGCAATCGGGTAAAATCGGGTATTTTCAGTTATCAAGGTGGGTAAAACATGATTTTTCAATTGGCAACCCTGGTGACTACATAGTTCAAATGAATGTAACTCACAGTCCTAGTTTTCCGAAGTTGAAGTAATTCAAAATTTTGAAGTGGTTTGAAATTCGCCCCATAATAAGTATCTTTAGGTGCATTCAGCTGCATTATTATTTGCTGCAGATATTAATGATATTATGTGCTGTAGAAATTCGGAAACCTGCAAAATGTGACCCAATTAATTTGATTTACAGATACAACTAGTTACAAAATGAAGTCAGGCTGCAGGCTCTTTTGGTACTATAATAGCAAGGTTGGTACAGCTAATGATAATTTGTACAAAATAATCATCACTTCTACCAACCTTGTATAATAGGTATACTAGCGACATCTCTCAGAGTTTCTCACAACCACGACTCACAACTAATTCAGAAGTCGATAATCGGGTCGATTCTGTTCGGATCTTGTTATAACATTGCTAAGATAATAATATTGTTATGATCCTAACATATAACAATATTGCTATGAAGTTCTGTATTCTGTTTGCAGAGTAACTGCAAGACTGGTTATGAGTTCAAGTGATAGCAATATTGTTGAAAAATTGCGAATTTTTGAGCTGACAGCACTGTTTTTAACTCATTGCTTGAGTGTTAGGTATCGATTTTGCCATTATTTCACGAAGAAGAAGAGTTCATGATTATCTAACCTCTCAAATTAGTCAGTCCTGCACTGATATTTTACAAAATTATATTGTTCAAATCGAGAGATTTTGTATTTGCTGAATCTGGTAGTCGTTGTGCGACTGGTGCAAGTACTCAATCATGTCCCCGAAATGAGAAACAACTAAAAGCCGCATGAAAATAATCATGATTTTTTTTTTAATATTATAGCAAAATAGTTTGATGAAGTATCCATCAGGCAACTGAAATGGTTTTTCTGGTTCTTAAAATGCCGAAATTGTAGTCTCATATTTCGTCTACAAATTGGAACTTCAAGAAAAGGTTTTCAAGTCGTTGGTCACAGTATTGAACCTATCCTATTTGTTGGTAATCACAATTCTAAGTTTCTCAATAAGTCTTCTACGAATTGAAACGTTGAGGAAAAGTTTTCGAGTAGTCTGAACTCTCATATGTTTTTAATCCACTATTTTCTGAATGTTCATACAGTTGGAAGAATTTGTATTGCAAAAACAGAATCCACTACCTTGTTATAAGATAGCAAGCACAAAATTGATGTTGCCGAGATAGCGAGAAAGCTGACGAGATGTCATCGAAATTGACAGATCATATTGCCAAAAATCGATGACTAGAATTCCACTTTTTCGAATCTTGCTATGATAGCAATATCTTCTCTACAACCATATTGCTATTTGCAAACAGAATCGACCTGAATATGTATACAGTAATGGTAATAAATACAATTACCCTCGCAATTCCCTGATTCCTGACCTTTTTGTTCATCTTGCGATAATACTCATGACCGAAAGATGTTGAATTTTATTTTGATTGGAATTTTATTATTATCAAGATGTCTATATTCCTCATATTCCTGTTCAAATAATAACAACAAAAGGAAAACGTTTGAAGAGAAATCCTTATCCTGGTCCCGGGCGTTGCACCACACAGAGTGTGAAATTGGGGGATGTTGTAGGGTGTAGGGGAAATGATCGGGGGAACACACGGGGGAGCACGGAATAGGGATGAAAATAGCTATACAAACAGTTCGATTTTGACAGAAGGGAAAGTGGTCGTGGTGTGGTTGTGTTTTTGTTGTTGATCATATGATTTCGATATGATTTATACAATTCGTGGAATTACCGATGGTTTTTAGAATCCAGTAGTAATTCCACGAAAAGGGCATTCTAGTTATCTGCAGGAATTCATTTATTTTTGTCGGAATTATGATTTAATCCGAAACAGGTGAGTGAGTAGGTAGGTATATAGTTGACACATTTGAAAATACCTACTTATATTGAAATAGATGATTCTAAATTCAAACCACTATTTTGAAGAAGAAGCATATATAAGGTATATACCTACATAAAAACAACGAGAGGGCTTAAAGTTGGAGGGTCTATATAGGTACAGAGTATTATTTGTATTCTGTATTTACGGAGCAGCTATTTATAACAGCTAGGTATGAATGTGGAACAGTTAGAAACGGGTATTGCGGTATTGGATATGAAAAATACCTGTGACCAGAGACACATCGCGATTTGCGATAATGCGTGACAGAACAGAGAGAATGCTAGTATTTTGAATTTTATATGTATTTTACATAGACCTGTATCATAGATAGATTATTGACTCCCATCTATGAACACGAGCACAGACAGAATAGAAATATGCATGACCGCTGAGAGATGGCGACACATAAGGCACTTATTATTGGTGTTGTGGGATACTCCAAGGATATATAATAGGTATTAACATTGACTATTCACACAGTCTGACACAGTGTAAATAATCAAGGGTATTAATTAATATACGGAGGTGGATATTACGATATTAAAAAATGCGAAAATGGTTTATTATGGTCAACAATTGATTGAAACTGTTTATCGTAATACGATATTCCATAATAGTCTCTATACTCTTCGTTATCGCAGCACGATATTTGATGAGTACGGAAATTACAGAATACAAATAGGTACGCAGTGGCGTTGATTCAAGCGGGCTCTGGAACAACGAGTATTTTGTCACAGTATATACGTACCTGTTGAAAAAATTCAGATATCAACCATAAAATGATCCACTTTATAATGTTTTCTACCTCACCTTTTCAGAATATGCGAAGATGATGATTAAATTCTAGAGTGGGGTTTGACTATTTTCTAAGAGATGGCGCAACTGATTTGATTTTAAAATTACTAAAGGATCGCGACAGGAACACGACTAGCACGAGGCTGTCGCTTGTTGCTAGCGCTGCCGCTCCCGCAGGCGCTGATTGCTATAAGCGGTATACAGGCCCTACAGGTCCAATAGAAAAATTACAGATATTTCATCCGTGTTCTTTTTTTTTGGCATGGAGAAACTAGTTTCCAAGATAATTGGTGTTTGCTCAAATTTTTTGTTTTGAACAACTAATAACAACTTGCCCCATCCACAGCTTTGCAGATGATATTACCCTTCATACTGCGTTCTCTTCCAGAATTCCCATTTCTTCCAAGGAAACTAAGAAGTCACGGCGCAGGCAGATGTCAATGCTGTCAATGAAGACCTTGCTGAAATCACAGCCTGGGGAACCAACAACCTAGTTGAATTCAACGCCACCAAAACTCAAGCCTGTATTTTCTCTAGAAAGGCGGAACTCAGTATGCCCTATATTGTAATGTCTGGCACCACCATCCCCACCAAGCACACCATATGTATGCTCGGTATTTCCATCAGCAACACTCTTTCATGGGATAATCATGTCAGATCCATCGCAAAAGCTGCTTCACAAAAACTCGGATTCTTGTTCCGTGCGAAAAGCTACTTTACACCTCAACAGCATCTCATGATCTACAAAGCGCAGATATGGCCTGTTCTGGAATACTGTTCCTCAGCGCCAAAACATACGCTGATGCTTCTATAGATTCCATCCAGAGAAGAGCCATATTTGCCTGGTGGGTGACGCACATTCACTCACTCTTTGACATCATTGGAACACCGTAGAAAGGTCG